TCCTCAGCTCCTGAGCTCGAGCACTTGGGAACACTAGATGACGGAGCTGGATTCCTTGCTTCTCCAACTATTTTCATTATGTCCTCTACGCTTTGAAGAGAGAAGCTCGGGTTGTCTCTCTTGTAATATGCTGCTTGAGCTGACTCTAGCAGCTCCTTTGGCAAATTCTTCAAATACCACGGATGATTCTTGATATCTTTAAGCGTGATTCTCTGTCACGAATATTATTTTGACAATCATAATCGTAATAACATCTCCCAACAAGATCTAGCTTGAAATTTGAAAACCGAAATGGTTAAGGTACCTTGGCGGGGTTAGTGACGAATATGCGAGAGAGAAGGTGTTTGCATTCCTGAGAAATGTGAACGTAGTCCGGGATCTTGTATTGTATAGCCATTATACGCTGCAGAATACCATTTGAATTGTTACATTTCTGAGACACTGGAACAATCAGAAGATGAGATAATTCGAAAAAATGCATTTGGTAGTTGAATGGTGGAGTTACTTGGATTGTTTTCCTGAAGTTCTTTGGATCATTAGGGTCCTCAAATGGGTAAGCTCCAACCAGCATCACATAAAGGGTTACACCACATGACCACACATCCGCGTTCTACAAAAAACGCAGTCATATGAGTGTAAAAGCCAGTCTATGTGCTCATTGACAATCATGAAATACATAAATCTAGAGACTGGCCTATAAACATCCTCCCCATATGGATAATCGCCCCATCAATTTGTTAATAAAGACTATATGCTTGGACATGTGCAGAGGGTGGTCCAGTTAAACTTTATTAGAAGTCCAATTACCCGAAAAACACTACACAGACCACGCCAACCTACATCTCTGAGCAATCTTTTCAAATTTCTTTTCTCATATTTCTCCCTTAATGAGATTATCTGTTTACTTTGACAGTCAATCATGTGTTGGTCATTGACAAATCGATAGGTATAACAAGACATTAGTAGTGTACCTTGCCATCATATTCTCTACGAGAAAGAACTTCAGGTGCTATGTATGCTGGAGTTCCAACAGTCGATTTAGGCCTAGAATGTAGTATAGATGACTACACAGAAAGAAATAAAACAGAAAACAGGGAAAATAATAATAATTAAGAGACGAGTGAATAGATAATGCTAATCTGTGATGGATTGAGGATTGGGACGTCTGAGCAAAGAAGTAAAGGGAAATGAATTGAGTACACACCTTAGAGTAACCAAAATCACAGATTTTCAAAAGCGGAGCAGGGCTCCCATCGAGCAATGTGTTCTCAAGCTTCAGATCTCTATGGCATATTTGCTACACAAAAGCAAACGAGAGGATAAGGATACACAAGAATTACCTCAGTACATATTATGCAACAGTGACAACTATGATTTTAAAGGATTCATTTTCCTTTTTCCACAACTAG